ACAGTTGCTCACCGACCCCACTGACCAGTTGAAACGTTGGTGACGCGCGTTACTCGCGTCAAAACTGAAGCTCCATCATTGTAGGAGATAAAAGCAGCCATCTGAAGTATGAAGTCCAAAAATGCCCCGGGGGTCGATCGCATATCAGCAAAGATGCTCAAAGCTGACCCCATGCTATCCTCACAAATGTTACATCAACTATTCGTCAATATCTGGGACACCGTGACTTTTCCGGCCGACTGGATGCAGGGCGTCTTGGTAAAAGTCTCCAAGAAGTGGGATCCAACTGTATGCGACAACTGCCGAGGCATCATGTTACTGTGTTTGTTCTCAAAGTTCTGTGTAAAGTTATCCTCAATCGGATACAGGAGAAGATCGACGCGACTCTCCGACGACAGCAGCCAGGATTCCGTGCTGGAAGATTCTGTGTGGACCATATAGTCACGCTCCACATGGAGCAGGTCAATGAGTTCCAAGAGACCCTGTACTTGGTATTCATTGACTACGAAAAAGCTTTCGACCAACTAAACCACGAAAACTTGTGGGGCGCTGTGAGACGCAAGGGAGTTCCTGATAAGATCGTCAGCCTCATCGATGCGCAGTACGAGGCTTTCTCATGCAGAGTGTTGCACAACGGAGCTTTGTCTGACCCGATTCGGGTAATCGCGGGTGTGAGGTAAGGATGTATATTATCACCGCTACTGTTCATCATCGTAATCGACGAGTCCATGGTTGGAGCCGTTGACCGTGTACCGAACCGTGGGTTGCTGTGGCAGCCTATTACCATGAAGCATCTCAACGACTTCGATTTGGCTGATGATGTTGCGTTATTAGCACAACGGCGCTCTGACATGCAGAGTAAGCTCGACGACTTTGTGGAACGCTCCTCTGAAGCAGGTTTAACCATCAACGTCAACAAGACCAAATCGTTGGATGTCAACACGGAAAACCATTCCAATTTCACGGTAGCTAGGCAGGCAGTGGGGAAAGTCGAAAGCTTCCAATATCTTGGCAGCCAGATAGCGTCGGACGGCGGCACCAAGAGCGACATAGGTGCACGGATTCAGAAGGCAAGGGCTACTTTTGCCAGTTTGCGAAATGTATGGAGAGCGAATCAGTCTGTGCTGTTATACGCCAGTGAAACATGGCGTGTATCAGCGGAGAACACTCAGAAGCTGCAGGTGTTTATCAACCGATGCCTGCGGTACATAATTCGTGCCTGGTGGCCCCACAATTGGATCTCAAATTCCGAGCTTCATCGTTTGTGCCATCAGAAGCCGATAGAGACAGAAATTCGTGAACGGAAGTGGAGGTGGGTCGGCCACACACTACGGCAGAGCGGAAACGAAATCTGCAAGCAATCCATGTCTACGTATCTATGAATAATGATTCAATCATAAAAGTGCTTCTGCAGGCAATAGCTAATCAGGTTGTTAAGAAAATAAGGAACAAGAACATCAAGTATTTAGAAACAAAATCACCCTCTTCTCTTAACTCTTTACCATTCTTGCATTTACTCAGAGGTGCTACAATGCTCTAACGCAATTAGGAGTAACATCTATTAAGAGACGCACATAACCATTTGGAGGATATATTTTGCAACAACTAACAACGTCTAGCGTCTACGGAAATGTTTTTTTTTCAACCCTCAAGATCTCAGCTCAACTCAGAAATGTGCCTATACCCAGCCCAAAATCATCAAAATAATATTTTCTTTGAACAATGTTTGCTGCAAAATACAACATTGAGCATTGAGTGACCAGAAATTCGCACCTCTATTTCAAATTTCAAATGAACAATCATCCTTAAGGTGATACTCTAAGGCAGCCTTAGCGTGAAACTTTAAAGGCACAAATGTCAACTTCCACAAAACATACAAATTTGAAATTGCAACTCTCTGTTTGTAGTAGCACAGCAAACAAGGAGTAGCAATTTCAAATTTGTATGTTTTGTGGAAGCTGACATTTGTGCCTTTAAAGTTTCACGCTAAAGCTTCCTCAGTTATATTTATTAGTAAATAACTGTGATTCAGAAATATTTTCCTGAATTTGAATGAAATTGCACAATCACCGATCACCGATTGCCTGCAAAAAGCGCTTTCCCTAACACAGATTTCAAAATCGACTTCCATCAGGTCTCGCCGAACGGTGTTTATTTAATCACGGTCATCATCAGCAGCAGTGCTTCCGGCGCGTGGCGTTGTGCATTTTTCTCCAATACGCAACGAAAGCCTCCCCGCAGCAGTTAGATATCAAGGCTGCCCACAAGAGCCCTCGATTTACCGACGAAGGAGGAAGAAGCTACTGATCGGATTCAGTTGCTCTTCATGAGCCGCTGTGGGCCATCTATGGGCCACCCTTGTTCCAAACAACATACAGCTCGCAAGCCTCATCCGTCTTGAACACCCTAACAGCTCAGGATTACTCAACCATCACGACAAAACGCTTCTGTTCAGGACCACCATAAATTATTGTTGTTTAAGAGTTAATTTTCATGGACCGTTCGCTCGCCTTGCTGGCAGCCACATCACCCCCAAATCGCTTTCATTATGTACCCAGCAACCAAAAGTTTGTGGTTAAATGCGTAACAGTATTGAACTGGTACATACAAATTCTCGCGATGACCGAATACCACATACCTTGTCCGTTAACCAGAAACACTTCGTATTGAGGTAAGGTTTTCTCTAGGACCTTAGAAAAAAATCATAAAAAATCTCAAATCTATATGCTGATCGCGAATATCTCGCAAATGGAAAATTTTAGCAAGAAATAGAATTCCAATCAATTTTCACTTTTTTATTATCTTTTGAATAGACCAAAAATTCCGTGCGTTTTGTGCATGAAAATGCGTAATTTTGTCATCAGAAAACGAGGCGTTTCCGTAACGAGAAAAAAAGTGGTTTCCCTAACACAGTCACCGAATATTGATACAGAGCACGTAATCCTACGTCAAATCTACGGTCGTGTCTTGGATAGGGATACAACCTCTTACTTTTTTTTTCAATAAAATGACTTGCAGATAAATGGAATATTGTTGAATTGCTAGGGGAAATGGCTCTAATGTTGGCCTATGAATCTAAGATTGGGCCCATCGCTAAAAATCTCCAATTTATAAATTTTATCTAGATCAACGCGTCATTGGGAGGGTACTAATGGAAGTTTTTGGTCGCTATTGAAAATTTAGTCGATTGCTGAATTTATGTAGGGGCATTTAGGCCAACTTTACATCCATTTCCCCTATTCAGTATACAGAATATAACGTTACCCAAGCAAAGCTGGAGATCAAATTGACATCAAAATTTACTGTAATGATGTAACTTATTTTGAATACTGCAGTTGATCCCATCTTGGTTGACTTAATGGTTAACACAGCAAAAATGAGAGCAGCATTTTACACTGTTGAATCAAACAGAAAACTAATCCTGCTTTCAAAGAAATCAATTTGATTACTGATTTTGCATTCATAATATTTAACTGAATACGGGCCTGGCGTAAACGGTTATCATCCATGCTTTTCACGCTGAAAGACTTGAGTTCAAATCTCACCCCGGAGTAGTCACGAATGACCTGAAATGTGTTCAACAAAACAATTAAACAATAATCGTTAGTTCAATTTCAACAAGACTCTACTTCTTTTGTAAAAGTAGTAGAATTAAAAGGAGAAATCGACGAAAAAGGTATACAATTATTCTACTAAAACGCTTATCAATCAATTTAGATTCAACAAGACGTTAACAGCAGAACTTGAAGTTAAGCTGCTTTCATTTAAAAAACTGAAAGCACAATATGTAATCCGACTTATTTCGTGACAAATAAAATCCAAATGTGTTTTCATCATGATAGCAACTGCCAACATTAATATCGCGTTTCTTTCATTTGTTTAACCGACTTTGCTCAATATTGAAATAAAATAAATTGAGAGAACGTTGAGATAGTTATGAGGAATAAGCGGAAAAAAACGACATTTTTCCAAAAAAATTGTATCTTCAGACATTATTTATTTGAATAACTTTTTTCCCATTGGAAGGATGAGTGAGATCAAAACCGACAGCTTACATTGATCCATTGAGTGAAATCCTGCACTTAACTATCTACAACCAGGGTTCGTCTTCTATTTGGATGTACACTAATTCAAGTCTCTACGTACATATGTACCAAAGCGATGTCTTCGACGAAAGGAAATTGTTAGCTCCAACGGCAACATAGTTACTATATCTTGATAGAGCTGGAATTTAGGCGTAACAGCTTTTGTAAACAATGACTTCTCTCGATGATTTCTCGAAACTCAAGGCACCCCCACGCCAACCAACATAACCAACGGGAAGGGGAAGTCTTTCCCTACCCGATGGTGACGGTGATTTGAGTGAGCGAGCCTTGGCTTTCTAGAAATCATCGAGAGAAGTCATTGTTTACAAAAGCTGTTACGCCCTAATTCCAGCTCTATCTAGATATGAATGGTTCACGATTCACGTGTTTTACTTACTTACAGTGTTACACAAAGTGGCTCGTCATATCTCTGACTGATAACGATCCTTCTTCACTCGCCCGAATTGTTCAGTTACAGATTTACTTCATCCAACGCTAGCTGTCATGCATAATGGTGCTGCTCTTGCTCTTGGCAGGTATAAATATTTATAATAAGAATATTGCGTTTTATTTGAAACCCAAGCAGGATGCATTGCCATCATTTTAGTTCGCAGAAAACAGAAAAGAACCAAACCAAAAAAAAAAAACTTATTTGATGCTCTGTCAATTTGTTTGCCAAAACCATTGTTTCCGATTAGTATGTACCGATAGTTGTTCTGGGTGTTGCTAACTTCAGATGTGGTAAATCCAAAAACAGAAAAAGGTGTTCATTTCAACTCAAAACAATTCATACTAAATATGCTAAGGAAACTAATACTTTTTATCTCTAGAAATCGAACAAAAGAAAATATCTCAAACCAAGCAATCATCATTCGCAAAACAAACCTAAAAACGAAACTCGTCCACGGTACTTACATTCCGGTTGACGGCGGGCGATTTGAACAACGCCAGATGCTGCAGCTCCTGCAGCAGATTCATCTCCGACGACGAGTTCGAACTGGTTGGGCTCAAGCTGAGCGACGGACTCCGCACGTCGCTACTGCTCGTGTTGTAGCTGCTGCTGTGGTGGTGGTTGTTGTTATTGTTCATCATCACGCTACTGCTGCTGCACCCGGTGATGGTGTTGTAATTGTTATGGCTGCTGTTGCTCATCACGATGTGCGGCGAGTTGTACAGGGACGTGCTGGAAGGGGTCAGCATTTGGGCGTGATTGGTGTGATGGTAGGACGAGTCGTCCGGTAGGGCAATCGTCTGCGGCCGCTTGTTGAAGACGGGCGAGTTCGGTGCCGACTGGTGCCCCACGTCGTACTGGGACATGTGCGAGTGGATGCTGCTGTCCAGCTTCGATTTCGGTGGTGTCGTTTCGCGGAACTTGGACCGGAGGCCTTTGTAGGCCGTCTTGACACCTTTGCCACCTTCTTTGACCTGGGTGGGGGTGAAAGGTTAGACGATTAGAACACCGTTATGAGTCACATTGGTAGAATTTCAACGATGAATTTAGAAGCAATAGTTTATAGAAAACAATCCCACTCACCGATTTGACGGCGGACCGAACTGCCGGGTTGGTCTGCGAGCACGCGGACAAAAATGACGAGCAAAGAGGCGCACACACGGGGACGGGCACATGATTGGTGGCAGATTGTGGTGGTGGTGGTTGTGGTGGCGATTGTATTGCAAGCGCGCGGGAGCGTCAATTCAAGAAAAACGAAAGGTTTTTCGCATTAGAAGCCGGAGATTTGAATGAATTGGTGTTTTTTTGTGTGTGTGAAGGCCAAAAAATGGCAGTCGATTGTCGTCGTCGAATATGGTGATGATTTTGCGTGAAACCCACGTCGAGATGGATTCGATATGAAACGAAAGGAAGATGATTGATGTTTGCTTTAAAGACAATGATGAGTTGGTGTTTCACGAAGGTGATGGAAAAATAATGAATAAATAAAAAGAAGCAGGTAGTTTGAAGAATCGAAACTTAAGCCGTTTATTCAAAGAAAATTTCTTAAACTTAAATAGATCACATTCATAAAGTGTCTTAAACTAAGACATTTGGACGATCAATACTGATTTGAAATACTTTGTATAGCAAGAATTTATAAAAAAAAACTTAGGATTAAAATATTAGGAAGAGCGCATTTGGATATAAACAAAGTATAGAATTAATATTTTCTTTACAATTCAATGTAGGTACCGACTGTTGGTTGAATGTGATTTCACCGATTATTTCATTTCCCACCTAAAAAAGTGGCCGACAATGTGTTTGAGTGAAATTTTGAGACTGCAAACTTTGACAATTGGTCCAACATTATGGCCTTAAGTGTGGCAATTTCCAATTTCCAAATTCCATGATCCAGGATCTTGGAAATATGTCTTAGTCCGAAACCTCATTTTTGTCTGGAGCACAATTTTTATTTTTATCATAACATAGGCCTTTCGGGGGCCTATCTGTCTGGTCCTGTTTCCGAGAAAATGTTGACTATAAATTTGCTCTACTTCGTTCCAACCCAAGTAACAATATTAGTTTTGTGAGGGTCTGTAGACCACGATGCAGACTTGTAGAATGCTAGAAAACCTCTATTAAACTTACAATGTTACTTGGGAATCGTTTATTTCCAATCTATCGAATAGAAAACATCAATAATATCAATGATTTCAACATGGAATGGCAAAAATACGTTTGGTTCATTACTACGGTTCAAAGCTACAAAACAAAGACGGTCAAAAGCTACAAAACAAAGACTAAATGTTGACAACTACTGTTTTTAAAAACAAAATAAGCGCACCTAGGGAAACACTTTTTCCTACCGGAGAAAGTATGATGAAGAAAATCCAATGGCGTTTAAATGCATTTGGACGGAATTAGAACAATTTAACAATTTTTGACTCGAAATCGAACGGTACGTATAAAAAGGTAAATCAAGTTAGAAGTCATCTTTAGTAGAAACGTTCCATTACTTGTTCAAATCTGTTCGAAAAAGAGCGGCAAAGTACGGGTTATGCTTAGTTGGACGGAACTTAGATCAAAACCCCAATGCTAAATTTATAAACCTTAAATGAAGAAAGAGCAATTATAAGAAGGTAGAATCGCATTCCTAAGAATGGCCATTTGCCGAGTGAAATAAAAAAACCTTCAAAGGCAGACGAAACATATTTCCAGAGGATCAATTGGAAGAGATTAGAAAAAAGAATCAGAAAGAAGTTTTTGGGAAAAATAGGGGAAACTTCCAAGCGATGTCAAAAGAAGTTTCTGGAAGCCCCGAGAAAAGCCATTTCGTTTTGGCCACCAATTATCCAGATTTTTGGCTCCATTCTAATATTGTCTTCTTCCCTGCGATAACCAAGAAATGTCTGAAATTACCACAGTTAGAAAGTAAAAAAAAAAATAGCTCTATGAAAGACGACTTCTGGATGGAAAAATAAATTATTTTTTTTCCTTTGATTTGTTTTCCGTCGATCTTGTTTTCCGTGCTGAGCACCAATGCTACCGACGCCAGGAAGGCAGCTCCCACACCTCAGGGCTGGTAGCGCTGATGCGATATAATAGAAGTGACATTAGTGACTAAAATTACGGAAATAGTGCCAAATAGTGACTTTTGAATAATAAATAAGTAACCAATAGTTACATTTATATGATGACTCAGAAACTCAAATAAGGTTTAATATTGAAATAAACTGTTTTTATCATGGAACTTAAAATGACATTTCATGATTTCCTCTAATTATATCGAAACTCTCAACGGAATCTCCTATTAAGAGCATTTGAAGTGCAATTTCCGGATTTTACCAAAGATTTTTTCAAATGTTACTGTTAAATAGGGTTAAATAGATCATTACAAGGACAGCATTTTTTTTATCGAAAATCTTGAATTTGATTCTGCCATTGAAATCTTTAAAACTTTGATATAACTTTGATAATTCGCTAAGAATATTTCATAAAAAAAATTCAGAATGATCTCAAGAACTTTTTTAGAATTCTTCCACTCCTCTTAAACTTTGCAAGTTTAACAAAAATAATATTTCATTCTGGAAATTCTTTGCAAAACAATGGACAACATTCTTGGAAATAGATTATTTTCGTAGTTGGAGATGCTGAACGTGGACATTTTAATAAAGTATAGAGTTGATAGTTTCGTTGTACTACGGCAGTGTGAAAATTGTATATAGGAAGTAAAAAAGCGAGCTTCAAATAATTTTGAGGAAGGTACGAATCGGGTAGAGCATCCCTTTTACCAAACTCATCCGTTGATGAGGGATAGTGAGGGGTGTTTCACTCCGCCACACTGGCAAAAGGGATGATCGCCGATTTGCTCATGTACCTCCTATGTGCGGAAACAGTTCAATCAATTGTTTCACATTCAAATCGCCATCTGACGTAAGCATCTACCTGATTGCTATACCTGATTCGAAACTTTTTAAAAAATGACCTTTGCTCGCTTTCTACTTCTACTTTCTATATACAATTTTCACACTACCTTAATACTACTCAACTCTATACTTTCATCTTCTCATCTATCGTATAAAATGTTCACTTTAAGTCTGATATTTGACGTTAAACATCTCCAATTATTTGAATCGATAACTTCATGCATAAATTAATAAATCATAATTAGTTAAAGTAGATTATATTTGATTTTCTAATTATTCTTCCAGGATTTCCATGAAGGTTCTTCCATTAAATCCATTTAAAATTTACTTGAATCCTCCTTAGAATTTCCATGAAATTAACATCAAATTTCTGCTTAGAATAATCTTGAACTTCTCCCCTGAATTATATTGGAAATTCAATTCGTATTCTTCTCAGAATTCCCATGGTATTTTCTCAGAATTCTCAAAACAAAAATCCATCTCAGAATACCCTTGAAACTCTTCGAAGAGTTCCTTAGAGAATGAACCCTCAAAAGCCGATTCCATTGGAATTCTTCTCGGAATTTATTTCGAACTCTTTAGTCTTTAGAGTTCTCTTGGAAGTATCCTCAGAAATCATCCCAGATTTCTTTTATAACTTCCTTAGTGCCAAGTACTCAATTTAAAAATGTTGTTACTTTAGTGACTATTTTTAGGGAAATAGTGACTTTAGTGACTTTTTGGTTTGAAAAGTGACTTTTTAGTGACTGACTTCAAAAAAGTGACAAAGTCACTAAAAAGTGACCTGCTACCAGCCCTGACACCTGGACCCTACCTATCGACCCATCAACTCATGAACCGGGGACCATCGGCTTTGCTTCCCTTCCGAAGGAAGGCGTGATCAGAGATGTTATGCCTCAGAACATCCCGGCGGCGCCGACTAGGATTGAGCCCAGGCCTGCTGGGGTGAGAGGTAATCACGCTTACCACTAAACCACCAGCGCCACTAAAAAAAAATCCATAGTAATTCATAAAAAAATAAAAATTATCGCCGTTCGGTTTTCGAACGGTTCGATTTTAGCAAATATAAAAAAAATCCAAGCTTGTTACTAACAACGGACGAACACTGTAGTTAAATAAACAAAAGCACTATCCAATTCTAACCTCCATTTAATCACTCTGCACTAGTTTTTCTTCCTCGATTTTTATAAGCAAACAATTTATCTACTAAGTTGGTTTTACATTCAGATCGCGAATTGGCGATTAATTCAAAACATTGAGACACAGAGGAAAAAGGTTTAAAGTCTCGGACTTAAACAAATTTAGACAATTTTAAGACAATAAATTTTCAAGATCTAGGTTATAGATACTTCTGTAACACATCATGCATAGGGAAGAAAAACCATAACTCTGGGACCTATAAATCTCAGTCTAAGAAAAAATCTCATAGTTATGGCACGAGGAACATTTTTCAAGACGGACATAGACAATTTTACATGCGTCTAGAATCTCGATAGTGAAAAAATGTAAGATTGCGGTATTAATTTTAAAGATTTGATTTTTTTTAAACGCTTAAAATAGCTTAAAATTCAATATCTCTTAGACTAACAAATCGAGAAAATTGTGTTGTCTGGAACAATGTTCGATATTTTGAAAAGGCCTGATATATAATGTAATGTAAGTTCACAGTCCTAGAAAAATTTAAATGCTTTTGATACATAGAAAACGTTTTTTGAAACCTAACCTAACCTATAGTTTTTTGTGTATTTGGACATGCCAATTTTATCATCATCAATTGAATAAACTAAGAAAATAACTCAAGATTCTGCAAAATGATTTTTTTTCTCGATACTAAAGCTATTGGACTTCAAATTTCTGATCTTTGAAAAAATGTGTTTAGCTTCAAAATTTTCCAAGAGCATTTTAGACATCTCAGTCTTAGAAAGCTTTAAATTACGAAGTAAAAAAGTCATACTGGACCAGATTTTTTCAAGGCCTCTGAAAATTTGTGATAGGTCTATGACAATTTCGAGATCACAGGGAAGGGAAACGGCTTGAAATATTATAATCTGGACAAATTTTAAAGATAACGGAACTTGAATGTCTACACACCAAATTTTAATCGGTGAAAATCAGTAAAATTTTGCTGATTTTAGACTTAATGAAAGATCAGCAAACTTTCCAGCAAAATAATGCTGCTGTATCTTCCAGCAATTCCAACTTCTGTCA